ACAATATCACAGTAATGAGACGACATTTATGATTATACAGTAGGATTATTAGCTAATTTTTGTCGTAACTCTGATTCGACTGTTAAATATATTTTTTCCGAAACTATACGATGTTTAGATATTATCACGTGAAACATCTCCATAAAAAAATTAACTTACAAACTTTAATTCGCTCGTTATACTGCACCGATATTTATTATTACTATACCGCGTTAGTAACTTGAGTAATTTTAGGCACTTCGACACATCAATATATTCTACATTAACAAATTTTCTGAAAATAATGATCTCCGAATAGGAACACCTGAAATTTCAATAAAAAATAAAATGTGTTTAAATCAGCGATACTGATCCGCCTGTTAGAAATTATTGCACGAAAGATGTCTCAATTACACATCGAATAGTTCGATTAAATAAAAATAAATAAATTATGTCTCTCGATATCGTGTTCTTTCTGAATAAAACGTTGATGAAAAATCACATGCATAATCCGAAATTATAAACCATCTCTACATTTCGTTTCTGCAAACGACCTTCGCGATAATTGATTTGTTGCGAATTACAATCGCACGCTGCGAAACATCGCTGTGACACCGATCGATCGAGATCTCAATGCTTCTTCATATGATTAAGCATGATCGTTCGCGTGACAAATCCCTTTCCGCACAACGTGCACGGATACGGACGCTCTCCCGTGTGATAACGGCGGTGCACGGTGAGCGTCGATGCCTGCGTGAACGATTTGCCGCACGTGGCACAGAGATACGGCCTCTCGCCGGTGTGGATGCGCTGATGCACCACGTAATACTTGCGATGCGTGAAGCTCTTGCCGCACACATTGCACACCAGCGGCCTGGCTTTGTGCACCGCCTTATGCGTCGTCAACGACTCGATAGTGGTAAATTGCTTGGAGCACGAGTCGCAGGGGTAAGTGGTCATGGATTTGGCGGGCATGAGATTGGTGGCGACGGACGGCACCACCGTAGGAGCGCTGACAACCATCCTGTTGTTGTTATTGTTGCCGTTACCCGGGAGCGGTCTGTGGTGGGTTTTCGCGTGGTGATTGTACAGATTGCGCGTCTCGAAGCGCATCAAGCACCTGGGACAGGAGTACAGTTTCTCCGGATCGATGTCGTGCGTCCTCCGATGACGTTCCAGAAGCGTGCGATAACGGAAAGTCGCCCGACAGAGATCGCAAGAGAACATTTTATCCATGTTAACGTTACCTCCCGCTACTCCTATTTCTATTGTTCCGCCGCCACCGTCACCGCCACCACCGCCATCGGGCAACATGAGGTTCGCCGAGGTCGACGCGCATGAAGTCACAGGCATGGCGGTGTGCGTGAGCTCGTGTAATTTCAGATGGCTCAGAGAGACGAAGCTACGGGAGCAAACGGTGCACGAGTACCGTGGTTGATTCTCGATATTGTGGTGCTCGTACTCCGGCCGCGCCATGTGGCTCGTACGCATATGATAGTTTAGCTTAAGGGCGCTTCGAAACTCCAAGCCGCAGGTGGGGCACGGATAGGGTTCCGCGAGGATTTGCATCTGGTCGAGCAGGGATTGCTCCGGACATACGGACATAAAGTGCGGGGAGATGGTGTTTAGTAATGTCGACGATAGCATCGACGGTTGGTTCGTGTATACGGAGTTGGTCTGTAGAAAATTACAATTGACGGAGGACATGCCAACGTCCCCGGTCTCGGGCGAGGGTGAGAGGATCTGACGCAGCATCCCTGACAATCCGCCGAAGGTCCCACCTGCTTCCCTGAAATCGATAAAACCCAAGGACATTGCAACGGAGAACGACCGTGGGCACACACAGCTTTCTTTCTTTTTCTTTTATTCTGCTTTTGTGATTTTACGATGTCTTGTGTACAGGCAGTGATAAGAGAGAAAGAGAAAGTATATATATAGAGAGAAAGAGAGAGAGAGAGAAAGAGAGAAATATCTTAATGCTCATGTGATTGCTGCAAGGTGGCCGTGCAAGGTGCTTGGGTATTGCTGACATCCCTCGAGACGTAGCAATAATTAACGTGTTGTTACAAGAGTGTACGTGCGCATCGAGCTATAGAGAAAGTCGTCGTGATTGTCGTCAAGTCAAGCAGCTTCGAAAAATTTCATCACCCGCTTTGTAATAATAAATATCCATCAAGCTTTCCGAACTCGTGTATGAGAGTCTTACAAAATATTCAAACGTACTATTGGAGAGAATTGGATAATCTATAATTACATAATCTTTCTAAACCTATTTGTGTTGTCTTTATATGCATTAATAATTAGCAATCCATGAATATCACAAATTACCAGGAATAATATGCACACAAAAGTATACGTCGAAAATTCCCCGATGAGACAGCAGGAGGGAAAAGTAAAGATCAAGCCATGAAACTTGGGAAAAAGAGTTTGAGGAAAGCAAACTTTTACTCAAAAAATCACTCTCTATTTACTGAAATAGAAGATGTTAAAACGCAAATTAGTCAGTTATAAAGAAAATCTCACCTTCATAAACAATCCCATTACGATGACGCTTCTTCTTCTCGTCTGCATAACGAAGCACGATTTCTTGTGTCCATGTTGTACTTTACACATCAATGGTGCTTCATGTCATAATATCACAGGTATATTTCTACATAGTACGAAAGAAAAATAAAAATGCAGCCAAAAACTGCAATGAAAAAGAAAAATAGAGAAAATCAGAAATACTGTTCAGTACTCCATAGCATAAAAAATGACAAACCATGAAAGCCTGATGCGGCAATAGCACAAAAAGTGCTCTGCAATGTCGAGCTTTCACATGTAAAACGTCAGCTATACTTGAAACTGAACAGAACGATTTCCTCCTCCAAAAAGAAATATTAAAAAATTCATCACGTAATACGTGTAGCTTCAGAAAAAATGTCCCAATACCTTGATACATATTAAATGTTGCAGCCGATTCAAGGCGCAAAGTATACTCAACAAAATAACAATCGTGTAAACTTCTATTGTGGACACAAAACCGGCGCAAATATATAGTGCCAGCCTGGTTTTGTTATCATAACAAGTAAAAAAAAATGTATATACATACTCCGCATGTATCATGAAGTACAATCTTCTCTATGCCCAGATGGAAGCTCGCAAAATAATACGTGCTACCAAATAATGCGCATGAAAAGACTTATTGCGTCGGTGCATACGCAAAGGCATTCGTTCGCAGGCACCAAAACGCACACACCGCTGCAGAGCTTATCGCGAAGTTATACGATGTAAAATCGCAATACCGACATTGTCAGCACAAAAGTGCGCGGTACTTCCATATATGTATGTCGCATATGGTAAAAGAAATACAGTTTATACAAATCGAAATAGAATATATAAATATAACGTACGTAAAAAGATGATACTCGCCTTTATATTCATAATGCAAAATGTCCTCTTGATTCAGCCGTCTCTTAACAGATGATACTATCGCTTTTCGTAGAATCTTCGAGTTGGAGGAAATACGCGAATCCCCTTGATCTTCTTTAGCATCGAGATTAATTCTTAACCTGGTATCTTCACCATTTACGATACACTAACATGTGCGCGCGCGCGCGCGCGCTACTTTACTGTCCGATAATCGTACCGGACGCGCAAAATTTACATAAATTAACAATTTCATAGTATACGTATTCGTACGTCAGTTGAACGGTAGATTCTTAAGATTAGCGTCGCAACACTAACATAACAGTACAGAATCCTGGCAATATCGTAAAGCGCAGGCATCGGAAAGCACGAATATATGAACGAGAAATGATAGGTATATTCGTTGCATCAATTGAAGTATCTATCGTCTGTGACTTTTGGATCGGCCGAATATCGGTCATGTGCGGCATTTAGTGCCATCACGTAAGCGTGGGAATATTAATATCGACAACATATAAACATTTGATATTTATATGGACAGAGAGATCGAGCTGGCTCTTCGCGTGTACGTCGTTGACCGTTTGCGGAATAAGACGGTGTGTACGAGCTCTTTTCTTATACGTATATATATTGTGGATAATCCAGAGAAATCCCTCTATCCATTTTCATTGCACATATATAAATAATATTTAACACAGAGTCCATTTCGAAGAAAAAAAATAATACAAATGTCAATAAATATTTGCGACTTTGAAATAAGCATCATTACATATACTGTCATATATTGAAAATGATAATTGCATTTCGTCCAAATGTACTCTATGTACATGCTGCCACATGTAAAGATTAGGTGCTTAGCAATTTGCGTTGCTGCTTCAGAAATTGTACGATTGCTAAGGTGATGGCTCTCTCTTCATTGAATTAACACATTACGAACTTACTTAGAGTACGCAAATACCATGTGGAGACTATATTTGCATAAATTGCTAAACACCTTAGGGCCAAAGATGGTTGTGGGGTGTGTTCGAACTTACCTTGTGTTTACATGCGCCTTACTTTCATAATGACCAACGTTCTAACGTGATCATTTTGAACATCTCGATTTCCAATCGAGACAAAACCTATTTTATATTTTGTATTCTTTTTCTTTTCACAATTCTGTCCTACGCCCGATAAAACTCTCAATTTTATTACGAGACTTCGAATATGAGAAAACAATAGTGTGCAATTATGAGCACTTTAAAATAGCACACGATATTCTCAGACATGAGATATTGATTAATTTAAAAATAGACATGCCATGCTGTCGATAACTTCTTCCACTCATATATATCCGAAACAGCTTTTTTCATACCAGTTTGTTGAAATAATACGTCGTCGAATGTTCCTCGTTAATATATAAAATATCGCTAAATCACTGATTTCACTTTTAGAGCTAATATATACAAATGTGTTCTTCTCTCATTTACTTTAATTAAACGAGATATACCAAGTTAGGACGATACAGTAATAAATAAGTAAAACCAACACAATGTTTCGTGTTATTGTTTATGATCACCACAACAGATGACACCTTTGGCCCTCAAACAATGAAGTAAAAACAGAAAACTCACCCAGTTTTCGGATCTATGTCTGCTGCCTGTGCCAGCTCCTGTATGTCACTTATTTTCTGCTGACGAATTCCTGAAGGACCTGCTTCATCGCAATGTAAAGAAACGTTCACGAACGTTGTAGGCTCGATGGTTCTACTGTTATTAGGATCTTCTTCACTTTCTTCTTTTATAGGTAGGCCTGAAAAAATTCAGAAATTTCATTTCCTTTTTTCTTCTAAAAAATTTAAACTTTGAAGAAATGAGTCATATATTAAAAGTATAATTTAAAATTTGGTATGATAAATATACAAAAATACACACCTTCATCTCCCTCATCTCCTTCATCTTCTGAATCGTCAGTACTTTCATCTTCTTCCTCTTCTTGTTGCGTGGGTACGTTTGTTTGACTTTGTATAATTTCATGTGGTTGCGTACTCGATCCAGCTATTACTTGGATATTTTGTATAGAGCCACCACTGGTGTCGATAGGAACTGAGGTTATTTGTTGTTGATTGTTGTTGGGCATCATTATCGACATCATCTGCATATTGTCCATATCCATGTTCATACTGTTCTGATGCCCGCTCATCACACTACCATCTAACCTGTTCTCGTTGCTCTGTTCTCCTTTCATTATGTCCTGAAATTTGGAAATACAAAATGTAACTCATTCCTATATTTACCAAGTTATATGTTTTAACAAAAAAATATAGGTTTACACAATAGGGGAAATATGCTAATATTTTAACTATTTTGTGTCCTAATTAAAATAATAGGATTGTTATATACATAACACTATATACATATTGTATTGTAGCTAATAGCTAACTTGTATCAAAACTATATAAAAAAAATTGTGACACAAAGATATATAAGGTGATAATCCAAAAATATTCAAAATAACTTACAAAAAATGCAAAATATCAAGATTATTGGTTATCATTGCTAAGGTAAACATAAACAAATGAATAATCAAACATATGAAAATCTGATTATACAGGGCAAATATTTTTTAAAAGTTTGCCAGGGAATAACTTATAATAAAAGGCAAATTATATGTAATAACAATTACCTGGTCGAGCATAGTGGTAACAGTAGTATAACGGTGTGTGTTTACGCTGCTTTGCCATTCTCGTAATTGCTTGTCTGCATTAAGGCAAGTTTTCCAAAGATTGTATGCCTGATCTACTACAAAAAAACAACTCTCACATATTATGTGAGAAAATTTATCTTCTCTGAGAACCTGAAATCATAACGAAAAAAACTTTGTGATTTTAAAGTATATAAATATATATTCGCATGTGGGACAATTCGTGTGGGACAATTGTTACATGTATTGAATAAATAATAAAAAATTAGATATCTTGTTAAAAATATCGGACTGAAGATAATTTTTTTAGAATAGAAAGAATTATCTCTCTGTCTATGAGCAGCAAAAAACGCCGTTAAATTGCACGTGGGAAACGAGCGAGTGAAAATTAATAGGCACATGGCGATTATTGTAATTTCCGTTACTCTTTTTACGTTTGAAATCTACATGTAAACTAATATATGCGCAAAGCATCATTAATTGCGCGACAACGTGATCGAACTGGCATTCTCAGCGACTGTAATCGAAGGTACGCCGATAAAAAAAAAAAAGCAAGAACGCTGATTTTGAACAATGGGGGAAATCCACGTTAATTTTGAACAATAATGGCGGGAAATCCACGTTAGCCGACTCGCGAGCGTAGACGATAATGTCGGTGGCAAGATGTCGAAAACATCGATGAACAAGATTAATTAATGACGATACGTAAAGTATCGAGAGTACTTTGTCTTAGCGGTGAGTCGCGGGAAAACAATAAACATGCCGCTAAACGGTTCAGCACGAAGGACGGGACAAAATACGTTTTGGCTGGCGACATTCGCGTGTAAAAAGCGCGGCAAAAATCCACTAAATAATTAGTGGCGTCATAAAGGCAACACAGACCGAAAGAGAGAGAGAGAGCTCACAACGGATGCGAGGCGACGAGCATTGCGATATTGCGTGCGCGGGCCCAGGGTGGGCGTCGCGTCACTTGTCTACAGTGCGATTCAGAAAGCTACAAAGAATCGCGAGTCGACCGAAGGCCTGAATCGTGCGACGCGACATTATCGTGAGAATACGAAGGCGGACAAGATGGCGGGTCGCCATAGTCAAGCGAATGGCGTAGTTGACTCCTTACCTTGATCGGCAGCCAAGTGTGGATCTTCGTATCTGTAGAAACATCATCTTCTCCAACGTCCGCAAAAATCTCTCGGATTTGTTGGGCTTTTGTGAGACACAGTCGACACACGCTTAATGGATCGTAGGAGGACATTTTACCACGTAAAACGCCAGCTCGAAGACGCAAAGCCGCGCCCGTAGACGCAAACCCCGTTTCGACCGAAGCAGAAGAGGGCAGCGCGTTGTTCGTTACGCGTCGCTCGCGCTACGTGCTCGGCCGTGCTCGGCCACGCTCGGCCGCGCTCGGCCCGAGTTCGGGCGCGCCCGGCCGCCCTTCGGCAGTCTCCGTGACCGTATCGATTAGCTCGTGACCGAAGCCAACCGCCTTTACACACGACAGTAGCGAGCGCTACAAAGGTTCCTTCACTGAAATATGCTGCACGAATCGATGCTGGACGGTCCGATTTCCCTCGAAATCAAGCGCGAGCTCCGGCCTGGAGCTGGCGAAATATTATGGGAGCCACTCGCGATGCCGATTGCGCGGTCGGAATTCGTGAACACACAGGTCCCCCTTCGCGACTACGATTCCACCTCGAAACTATTATTACGGATCCGCCTTTCGGAACCGGCTCAGCGTCGCCACGCAGCTAAGCAAAAGATGCCGGTCTCTTCGAATCATGGCGGGAGAACGGCATCACCGCGGCACGAACCGGGATCAATTTTCAGCTCGTTCATAAGGTACCAGAAAAGCTCCTCGATCGTTTTGAGTATTATTCGAACATACAGGCAAAGAGATTGACGAGAAACGACATCATGTTGATATTGAAGGATGAGGTCATCCTTCGGGTAATCTGAAACGATGTTTTCTCGAATGTTCTAACCGTCGCGTATGAAACGTATTGCGCGTATAGCCATATTGAGCAGTTTAAATCTTGTCAGTTATATCAGCGTAATGTCGTATGTAATCGTTACATACACGTAGAGATGCCCCAGTAAGCAAGGAACATTAAATTAACGTTTAGAAACGTTGACTTCATATGCATTGTTTGGACATTTGTTAATAATATTGCATTTATATTTTTCACGTGTTATTTTGTGATGATTTTTCTGAATGTTATTTAAACGTTTTAAAAACATTGTAAAAAATATATTTTTCAAGTGTTACTTTAACATGTATTTGAGATCAATGCAACATCTTAAAAATATTGCTGCCGATTGAAACATTATGGCAACCCTATTTCAACATTATTGAAACTTCCAAATCGTGGTCAAAGTATGTTCATAATAATGATTTGATACAATATTAAACACAACATATTTGACAATATTACAGGTTCTTCAATATCATTGTAGCAACGTTGTATTAATGATTTCTTGCTTACTGGGGCGAAATGGCAAAATTTCAACGCTTATAGCGGAAACGTTACGTGCAACGTATGCGTAATGTTGCGATCTTGCAGTCAAACGACGTTTCTGCAACGTTTCTGCTTGCTTTCTGTATCGTATGGGGACAATGGAGCTTGTTAGATTCGAATAATCTCGACATTCAGTATATCGTGCAAACGATTTGCGGAATTGGCGGTACTCTCTGGCGCGGATAATTCTAACATATGCACGGTGATTTTGCAGGAGAAAGAAAGAGAGAAAGAGAGAAAGAGTCCCTCGTGCGGTCCCGTAGTTTCACTTTTGAATTCCCGTCGCGCCGATTGATTGATCGGACTGAGGTGACTGAGAAAGGTCGTCCGAGTAAGCGCTATCAAGTTTTCATGCTCAATTACTCCCACTTTACTCGGATGTTCGACGACGCATGATCGAACTGCGCAACATCTATCAGCAAACAACGGTGACGAGCGGGGAAGTGTGAGTGCATCCTGGTTAAATCAATGAACGCGCGACGATTCATTTGCGACAGGTGTGCTCGCTCGGAGAATTTCAGGGGACACTTTTCGCAACGGTCGTCTCCTTACTCGGATAATGACGTATCATGTGACTCACGTATCGTGCGATACGGCACTGCATTGAATAAGAGCAAAAGAGGTCCTCCTGAAGGCAGAAAGAAAAGGCCCATAATATCAGGTCCCATTGTCGTTGCGGCTATTCAAGTGACTTAAGCCGCTCTCACACCGATCGTTAGATTGACCATTGGCCGAACCTTCTCACGTCAAGGCAGACTACTCCGACAACGAACACAGAATTCCCATACAGCACAAATCTTCAAAGGACATTCTAAAGACATTCTAATATATTCTAAGAACGTTCCAAAATATTCTCTGAAGATTTTATGCTATCTGGGTTGTTAATACTTTGGGGTTGCATTTCAAAACGTCCTTTTTAAGAAAAATTTTACCTTTTTGAGAGAAATATCCTATAATTCACATTACATATACTATAAAATATTGAGTAAAATTCTGGACAAATTCCTCAAAAAGAACGCCTTGAAATACAACCTAGAGATCGTTCACTATTGTGTCCGATTTGTCTCATCGTGACACAACGCTCTGTTGTTCGACGGTGTGAAAACGCACACACAAGACTGGCCTTACCTCTCTGCAACCGTGAAAGATATTAACGACCTCTCGTTCTCTCCCGACATTGCATCAGTTGCGTTTTACCTCTTGGGGATGTTTGAAGAAAAATACATTTATTTTTTATTATAGTCAAATATTTTTTTTAAATTTGACTTGCATTCACTTCGACTTTTACATCACCAGTCTATATACCATATTATATTTTATTTGATAATCATTTAAAGAAGTATACAATATTGTGTGGTGAATATAATGTACTTGCCAATGTATTCAAAGATATTCACATTTGTTTCAATTTACAACAAGCGAGAAAAATTTTCTTTCGTCTGTAATTAATATCGACAACCAAAATATTAAAATATCGTTAGTTTTCAATATACACACGGTGAAGATTTTTGCCATGAGGTGAATGCATTTAGAAATCACGCATTAGGTCAAATATTCGTATTCAGATTCTGGATGTACGGGAAAGGGGGCGATACTTCGGCACGTGTTTTAGATAAAAAAAACTGCTTTATTGTGGCAGAGCACATGTATCATCATATACCAGCATATAATTAGGAAGTCCATAGTAATTTACAAATTACGATCCACTTAAATGTCGTTACATATGGCGGTGTGTGCAGGCAGGGAATTTGAGAACCGATTCTGATCGCTCTCGCGTCTTATCTTGAATTTTCGCCCTTGTTTTGTCCGTACTCTCCTTCAAACCTTTGAACGTTAATTGCATCTCGATCACGAGTGGCTTTTCGAAGGCCCTTGGAGGGTACGCTATTTATAATACACGAAAATAAGAGATATGTAAGTCTCCTTTCTTTTGGTTGTCTTTTGTCTTTTCGTCGAAATGCCGTAATTAGTCGAGGAACATCGTGTAAATGTCGCTTGCATATTACAATATTGCTATTAAGTACCGCAAATCATACTTTTACCTTCCCGTCGGGGAAACAGCGATAACGAAAATAGCACACTTTATTCTCGTAAGCGCCCTTTCTCACGCGGAAGAAATAGGCGCTCGGTCTGCCTACCAGTTTAACACACAATTCGCTCGAAAATCAAATTTCCCGAATGCAGTCTCTTACACGATGAATTAGTCTTGTTAGATTCCGTTCTTATCGGGAGATGCGACCAAATAAATTGAAATTGTCTGCAAACGGAATGATAGAAGCACGCGATTATCGTATTATTAAATTTCGACGGTATAATAATGCGAATATTCCTCTCGCGAATAATAATTTCGCGAGCATCTCAATGTTTTCTCGCGGCTTAAGAATCGCGCCGATTAATAAATCGATTAAGATCGCGACGAAACTGCGTTTTACTTCGATGCTTTTTCTGTGTAGTTAATTAATTAATTAATTAATTAATCGATTAATTAGTTTGTTAAGTTCGTAACTATGCACTTACATTTTACGCGCTATAACAATAATAGCAAAATTGCGTGAATGTTTGAATCTTTTTTTTTTTCCTTTTAATTCCATATCTCTTTGGTTTTTTTTCATAATGTAAATTTTACAGCTATTACAAGTATTATTGTTTATATTTGTTTAAGGTAACATTAATAGCAGACTCTCTTCGTGTCCGTTACCTACTAAATACAAAGTTAAAAATGCGCAAAGTTCAAATCTTTTTTTTTTCTGTTTGTTTTAAATCTGCAAGTGTGTTCCGCTGAGTGTATGCGCGTGCACATTTGCATATGCACGCTGCATGTGTACACAGCACATGCTGGATTTGCATGCGGCACTTGCCTGTGCCGTTGCTCCTCTCTCTGAATTATCCGGAGACCTAAATTAAAAGAACGAGTCGAAAGCTCCGAGTGGCGTTGATACAGAGGCGTATTGACGGAAAGTGTTTGATAAATTGCGAATGTCGTGTCGATAAACTCAATCGTTACGACACACTTCGAGATGACGAAAATCATAAATTACACTGCACACGATGCTACACAGTTTAGACCAACAGAACAGTCAGTAACGGTATATCGCAATATTTTCACACGTTTGTTTCCTTTTTTTTATACATATATTTATATATATATATATATATATATATATATATATATATATATATATATATATATATATATATATAATATATATCTCTATTAGCGCTTTTTCTCTTTTGCACGAGACGTCCTTTTAATTTTAGATATCCTGAAACTTTTGGAAGGCCGCTGATGTATCGTTTCAAAAATTTTCAAACCCAATTCTAACTAAAGACCGTAGTCTACCTAATAGAACCGATCGAATAAGTGTCATGTCCAAAGCAAACATTCTTGCACTCATTTGGAACGAAAGGATGTCTCACGTGTGTGTGTGTGTGTGTGTGTGTGTGTCCGTGCGTGTATGTATGGATGTATATGAATGTGTATATATGTGTGTGTCTGTGCAATTGTTCCTGCCACAATTGTATGAGCGATCGTGTGTGATCCCGCTTTGGTTACCACCGAGACTAAGAACATTGGTCGTGAAACGATCCGCACAGAACGCACTTGTAACATTTTATTACAATTTACATCGTGATGAAATGTCCTCGCAATATTTCGGCAACCTTTCCGCGCTATATGGAAGGAAGTACGCACAGTGTATGCAAGAATCTTTCAGACATTATCTTATCACGTTCTAATTAACTAGACTATAGTCTTGAAATGATCTCTTATATCGTCGACGTTGGGATTAACTAATCTAGCATTGGTCGTAAAATCGTTGATAGTTTTAGCATATCTAATATACACTTCACGCTGACACGCTGTATCGATGAGATTCGTTTAGGAAGCTGAACGACAAAAAACATCAAGTGGGAGAGGTTTCGGAAGTGAACGTAATCCTCTAGCAATTCGAACGAAGCGTATGTCTCACTCTATATCGTACAATTATTCCACGTAATGGGGATGTCGCGTTATGTTTCGATCTACTTCGACAACGTTCCAATCACCATTTTACCTTGCGCAACGCGCGCCCGTGATCCGCGAATACCGATGAATAAAACGTGGACTCAGGCTATGTAGGGATTATGTTACAAGTGGGCTATCCTCGGGAATTACGTTGGTGTGGCGATCTAGCAGAACACCCGTCGATCGTTTGAATTCCGTCCGTGATTCGCCGATTATCGTGTCGCTAAACGGCGTTGGAGATTGCCAAATTAGATGCGAAGCAAACCGTCCCTCGAATACTTAGACAGAACTGCTTTATATATTACAATATATAATATTATACAATTAATAAAAAATCTCTCGTGGCAAACAGCGCCACGCTTTTCACAATTTACAATTATTATCAATAGAAACTTCATATTTTCACTTTTTTTTTTCTTTTATGGCCATTTATACTACAGTAATGCGTGAAATTATGTCCCGGTCTCATTCTTAGCACGGTGCGATCGATCGATCGATTCGGTCTCCTCGTGAAAATAGGAAAGTTACAGCAACGTGCTATCCTGCAAATCCACGAGCTACTCGCCATGTCACTACGTTGCTATTATTAGTCGTTCGACTTACAATAACAATTGTCAACTTTTCAATATCTTTTATTAGCATCTTCATACTTTTGTTTGTTCTTTTTTTTGTATCAAATTAATACAAATAACGGCAATCAAAATGTACGTAAGAAAATTATGACGCTGTAATGTTATTAACGGGAGAAATCATGTTCCTTCGGATGTGAAATTTGAAACGGACACCTTCAACAGTACAAGCAAAAGACATAACCTCGCGAGTTATCACGAGACAATAGATTATCGATTACGCAAATACAGAATATCACAAATCAAATCACATTCTTTTCATCCCTTAAATTAAGTTACGCTCTGTACCCTGACGATAGCAGTTTTTCACGTCGTCTAATTTAATAATTGAGATCGAAAGTAAACGAGAAGTTGTCTTTTGTCCAGCTAACTCTATAGCTTCGATATTATACAAGCTCAATTACTTTTTTTTTTTCTTTATCGAATGTTACAATAAATACAAAATATTATATGAAAGTGTATATAATTCTTGTATTATCTTAAGACGCTATAGTGTTCACCTGAGAATTAAAAAAATTGTATATCCGATTATTCAAAATTTTATTACGTTACGTGAAGACTAGCAAAGTTCGATATAATTAACTACGAATTTATAAGAACAAATGGGGAAAACGCTGATCGTCCCAAGTTGTAAAATATCTACTTGTTGTTGTTGTTGTTGTTGTTCCGAGAAGGCTTTGTAATCGTTACTGTTATTTAGCGTAAACGAGTCCAAATGATGCGTCAAGAGGTGGAGGGGGAAGATGGGACAGAATAGGGGGCGAATTAAATGAAAAGTTACATCAACTATCGATTAATATCAGATGCATGGCTAATTACGCTGTGTGTTCACCTAGTTTTCGTTTCTCGTTAGATTTATCTTCTATTGTTGCCCTCCTCGTGTGTGTCGTCTCATAAAAATTCTTCACGATCTTTCACGCGCGATCGTCATTTAATACTACCTATATAATATATTACAGAGTTATAATTCACTTGCTTCTGTCCGCCGTAATTAATGGTAATGAACGGGAGTAAGTTCTAGCGGTTCTCTTATCGTCTTTCTTCTTTTTTTTTTTGTTTCCTCGTAGAATAGGGTATTCGGAAGTGAAACGGCGTAACTAATAAAACGGTCGACAAGTGCGGCCATTTCGCCCGTAATCACACTTCCTATCGCGGGGTAATATAGTTTCACGTTTGAATTTCCGAGCGTACGGTGTGTACGGATATCTCGACGCGCTGATTAGCAGTCTCGGCAATGCCGAGAAGTCGGATCGCGATTTCTTAAATCTGTCGATCACATGCGTCGTAATCTTATATAAATTACACTTGGTCGTGATGAACGTCAATAGATTTATGTATTCGGAATTGTCGATATTCGATCTACAGACGCGAGTTGTGTTTGTTTCTTCTTTTTTTCCCTTTCTTTTTGAAATGCCGATTATGTCGCAATTGGAAAGCGTAAATCCGTGCGATTTGGATAGCGAGGCATTTTTACGGGAGAGCCGCCGTACCCGCCGACCTGTTTCCCCTCTCGCGGAGAGACGACCGACTGGATAAAGTAAACGTCCTTCTACTTATGCTACTCGTACAATGTGCAATCCAGTATACGTCTTAAAAATATCCGAATAGGTTCTACTTTTCGATAAAAGGCAAGAGAATTGTTCCACTCGTGTGTTCACCTATATTATGATAACGCATCTACCGGAATACGTACTTCGTGCTCTTCGATGGATTGACTCTTCGTAGGTAAACTGTAAACGATCAATTCGGGGGGAATGAATTCGTCGATATTCCTCTCTCGTGTAATCTACCTCTGTAATTTCGTGTTACGATTGGCCGAGCGCTTCTGGTTGAAGAAACCTACGGCAGCTAGAGTCTACAGATCTATGTAGCTATGGCCACCTTCGCGACAATCTCTGGTCTGTGTACTTAAATGAATAATATATGGAAAATCTCGAAATTTCGAATATATATAATATATATATCCGTGAACTCTCTCCTCTCTCTCTTTCTTTCTTGTATGATAATAATATGACGTATCTTACAAGTATGTATTATACACATCCGTAAGATTTTCTCCCAGAACGCCTCGTGTCGTATACCTAAGTGTGTTGTAGTATATCTATACTTTATATTATATACAAATTGTAAAATGTATTTTCATAATGAAAAAGTCCCGTGTCAGTTTGTGTATATCCTCTACCTCTCCTTTGGTATGTATTTATATATCTCTTTTTTATATATCTCTCCCATTCTCTTTCTATCTTTCTTTCTCTGTTTCCCTCTCTCGCTCTCTCTCTTCTCTTCCGTGTGAGAACGTGAACGTAGATGTAAATTTAGCATTCGCAGTCGCACACTCTCACATCTTTGCAGTTCTTCCATGCAGCCGCACATTCGCACTCCCTCGCGTGTTCGCTCACACGTTCACATTCACTCGAACAGTCGCGCCTCGCATTCACTTCTTTTCGTCCTTCCCGTTCGGCCGTTTCATTTTTTTTCACATCTCTCGACTGCAGATCTTACAATCGCACGATCCCTGTGTACACGCGCAACTTTCGGTCGGCTCGTTGTTCTCACCAGTACTTGCGACGTGATTCAGGATTTTCATTTCGTTATGTTCTAAGAAATCTGCTCTGTATGACAATCCCAGAAAAAATACAAGGATCATATAGAATTGTTTTCACATTTGGCGCAATCATCGCTCCTCCTACATACAATGACACTTTTATCGAGATAGATTCCCAAACGAAAAGAGAAACGTGCGATAGCCTGCGTATTAATCTCGTACGACGGACACTTCGACATATAAATATCGTTAACATTCCTCTTTCCTTCCCGAGAAAAATAATTTTAGCCGTAAAGAGTTAAACGACCTAGCTACAGACTACGGATACAGTCTAACGTCGTCATTATTATACGCACAAAATCTTGTCGCACGTCGCACTTCGCGATACTGACGAACGCCACAGCCATTCACGAGTAGTACCAGAACGAAAGACCTCGTGTCCATTAACGGGCGATTAATTCTCGTCACCCGCTCGGCAGCGCAAAAATTCATCACGATCGAATGCACTCTAATATCGTCCGTGGTTCCGCAAGTCAGCGGGCCCAGACGACGGCGATGTATCGCGAACGGAAAGATCCGTGCACCAGTTGAAGGGCATTCGGCGCCGTCGCTACTTCCGGAAGCTCCGTTCGACATTGAACGGCTCGACTTCAACTCCGGCAATCCGCTTTAATCGATCCCGATTGCCTGCACGAAAACTCGCTCTCGTTCCACGAGAATCAAGGGAAATGGGAGAAGGAAATGGAAAAGCGAGGTCGAATGAGAGAAAGAGAACGAGAGAGGAGAGAGGGAAAGAGAGAGAGAGAGAGAGAGAGAGAGAGAGGAGAACTCGTGGCGGTGATAATAGCGTCTCGCGACGGCGATTAAAATTCGTTGAAGTGGCGGCTGCACGGCGAGTAGAAACAATACTCTCTCAGACGGACACCCGCCGCGGCTGCAACAATTGATACTGGTGATGGTAATATCGCTCATCCTCATCGAGGTCCAGCATCAGGCTCCTCGCGCCCGAGCAACGTCAGATGCTCGCGCGATGCTGATACAGCGGCGGCAGTTGCAGGAGAGGCGTGAGCGGCAGCGGGGGCAGCTCGTCGTCGCCGTGCACATTCAACGCCGACAGCTGTTGCATCTGCAGCAGATGCGAGATCTTGCCGGGCGAACGACGGACCGTGAAGCGCGGTCTCCGTCGTTTCCTCTGGAAGCCGTTGCAACGGCAACTGCACACCGATGTCTCGTCGTCTAACGATATCGCATCGCCCTGATTACCGATCTGACCGGATAGTATCGAGCCGTTGGCCGTTATCACGTCGCCCTCGAGGCGCACCGCGCCTTGAGCCGCCTGTGAGATACAAAAAGAGAGACTAGATTAAGAGCTGAGGAAGAACGTAGAAACGTCCAGACACGCTTTCGATTGAATAGAATTTTTAATAGCTACACGTGAATTATATTGGAGTATACAGTGGATCGGGAGATATCTCCTTTGAATCTTTTGAAGAGTTTCTCTCGAAAAACAGAGTGACATTTGAGTCATTCGTATTTGAGCGGTTTTCCACTTGTACAGAGCGAATTCTTTATTTCAAGCGTATATGAATATTTTATCAATTATTCCATATGAAATTGAAGAGAAATCATGAAAAGTGGAATCTAATTTTTTTTTAATTTTTTTTTATTAATTTTTTATCATATAGAAAAAAAATTAATTCTATTCGATTAAAACACATTTACTCGTATGGATTAAAAATGCATTCAAAGTTGGAATTAAACATTCACTCTCTTGTGATTCCGAACAGCGGTATTTTCATTATCGCTTTAGATTAATTTTTACTCGTCTTGACATGGCATCCCAAGAGATTTAGAGGATAAAAAGACGATTGTCTCACCTGTAACGCTTCGGCTTCGTCTCGTCTCTCGTCCTCCGTGTTCATCGTCACGAATCTCAGGACCAACAGATTCAACGAAGCCGCCACGATCGCCAAGCCGAAGAGGATGAATATTAGGGCGAACATCACGTACTCGGGCTTCTTGTTTAGCGCGTTGTCCTTCTGCAGCGCGACCATGTCGCCAAAGCCGATGGTCGTCAGAGTGATGAAGCAATAGTAAATGGAATCGAAGTAGGTCCACCCTTCGTATTTAGAGAACGCGGCGGCACCGCCGGCGATGGTCAGGCACGACAGAGTCGTCACCACGCAGATGAGATTTATCTCCGAGGCCTGCGACACAATGAATCGGTATGTCAATTCCACCGCGCCGATTTTTCACATCGACCCGTGTGTACGATTCGCGCGGCGTCCAGCCAGTTTTAATCGCGCGCGACTCGCACGGGCTCGATTTAGAACGAAGGGATGCGCAGCTGTTGCGCTTTCCCATAAATTCCGCTCGAATGTCCGACGGTTCGACTTCGACTAAGCTATTGTTGTACCTGGACGTCCTTGCAGTTTAGAAGCCTCTTTACGTTCCGTATCACGACAGATGAGAACTTATTCAAGCGTTCTCCTATGCTCTGGAACATTACGAGTCCTAATGGGATACCGACAATCGCATAGAACATCGTGAACAGTTTGCCGCTTATGGTATTCGGCGTCGAGTGTCCGTAACCTGGAAGATGTATACGCGACGAACATTAGGAACTTATCTTCCACAGGATCGGGGAAAACGACGGATATACGACAACTGAATTTTAAGCAGAGGAATGTGTGTGTTATACAATCTGCTGTCTCATCAAAAATTCTGAGATAAGGCATACGCTCAAAGTGCAAACGTAGCGATACACTGAGAGAACAGCGAATGGTTAATTTCAAAGTTACTTTCAAAGTTAATTCCAGAATTACAGCTATATTTCGGCGCCAACCGTATACCTTGTTGCTTTGCTACTTATTCTAGTCATAAATATCAAAGCCTCAGTTCTCTCAATGCGACGTAAACGCGCAGTAGAAGGAGAGATGGAATATTGATTTGATAAATAAAACAAAATGCCTCGACAATTGTCAAAGATAGTTGGACTACACACGCACCTATCGTGGTGAGGACCGTTGTGGCATAATAAAACGCGCCGGCGAACTTCCACTGTTGACCAGCCTTGTGAGGTTCCGTCTTCAGCACCACTGTTTCCATGATCTTGAAGTCGTCCTCGCTTATATTATATTTTCGTATGACTTTTTTCTCAATGTCTGCGAACAGAACAAGCGCGGCGACGCGCTATATAACTATCCTGTTCTCTCGATTGAGAGAGCTACATAGCTGCTCTCGACACAATCGTGCGCGTGCTTTTCGCCAATCTCGCTCATGAAGAAAGAAACAGGTGAATATCAGTCAGAACTGAATAAAATAACTAACAACCTCTGAACTTTCTAGAGAGCATAGTTTCACGTCCACCGGGGGGTGCCCGGCTTGCAGGAAACGGCGATAACACTCGATACTTTTAATAAAATTATTATGTATCAGGCAGAGACAAAGTCTCTCGCTTTCACACCGCGAACAAAACGAACGAGGCTCGTTTTTGTAAAAAGAAATTTTGTAAAAAAAATATCTTTTTGTAAAAAAAAGAAAAAAAATAGGTATGAGATGAGAGAGTCACTATGAAAAAAAAAGTCATTATTGCTCTCTCGCAAGCCCTCAAGAATTTATAAGGCTCGTGAGAGAACGTATTTATCAAGCGCTTCGAGCCATCAGCGAGATACTACCGTCGTTACGTTGTAAGAAGATCGTTTCACTTCAGCAATAGTGTAGTGACTTCTTGTATCACATGTATAACGTGTAAGGCTCGTGCAAATGCCGTTCTCGTCGTGCACACGATTACAGATTATGTTACACGGCGCTATGTAGCGTTTCTCACTCGCGTCTAAACGTAATCTACACAAATAGCGGTACAAGAGGGCTTTTCCGCTGGGAACAACACGGATATTTACGAGATATTTAAGGGGCGTCGTAAGACATTGTTCTCACGTGTATTAATTTTTTTTTGGAAATCCAAGAAATGAAATGATTATAAGAACAAGAAGTAACAACAGTTAACAACACACGCGCCAACACTTTTGAAAAATATCGATTGTAACAATCGATAGTGTTTCCGAATATCGTCTCTTTAGAAATGGCAGAAATAGTTCACGGAAAAAACAATATAGTTGGCCCGTACGTAAGCCCGGTTATGCCAACCAGATTAATAGTAAAATACGGAACGACGAATTATGTGGTTGCTACGACCGCAAAGCAGTCGCCGAGTTACAGTGACGATATCTGACTGCCTCAACTAAAGTGTATCCATGGTAAATGTCACCTCAACTGAATTCTAGTTACCACAAGCAGATCACGCACAACGATGTAGTTAATGTACCAAAGTAACCGAGTCATATCGACCATACACCGTCACGCAGAGTTAACTAGGGTCATGCAACTATACTGCTAAAAACTAAATATTCCTAGTTATGTGCCTTCTATTTTTTCCGTATTTGTATACAATCTTGTAAAAACTAATTATAAAGTCATTTATCAATCCGCGAAAACGACGCACTGAGAAAAAAAATGTTTGGTATTACACTTAGGAAAAAGTTACCTTAAAATCAACAAATATTTCTTTGATGAGTGCCATTAACATATTTATTTAAATCTAAATTCGGTTTACTTAAATCAGATAAACAATATTTGATTTAAATAAAGAGAATTTAGATTTAAGTAAATATGTTAATATCCATCAAAGAAATATTTGTTGACTTTAAGGTAATTTTTCTCTCAGTGTAGTGACTATAATCATATAGAGAAATAATGATTATAAATTATGACTATAATTATGAATTATAGTCAAGAAGACAATCTCTTTTATTTAAATTCTATTATAATATTTTAGTGATAAAATAATCTTATAATGCACATTACTACTACGAAATTTTTACTACAAAAAATATGGTCAGGGCCGTAGATAACTATAATTTGAGTTGGATTGACCATTTTTTTCTCTCAGCGCGTAAGTCAACTGAAATGTCAACTTTCGCACCGCGCGATCGCGGTCAGTCGACTACTTACCGTCCAATGCTTCTTTGCGTGATTTCTCCGTCTCGGACTCGAGTACGTCGAAGATTGCAGCACCGACGAGGAGATAAGTAAACGTGAAGACGATTAATGATAGGGTCCGGACGTTTTGCTTCTTCATTCTCTAGTGAGCCACATGCTCACTAGCAGGGCCCCGGCCCTAACTACTTGCATCGCTCAGTGGGGTACGATTTGGCTTGTCGGGCCCATGACGACCCCCTCTTCTTGTGCTCGACACTGCCCGGGGGGTCCCTCTCTTCCTTACCGAGCGCTACAGACCTGGCACGTGACTTTTCGTCTTCAGGATGTCGCTTTCCTTGCCATAGCAGCCGTGCAGCCGTTTTCGTTCATCTGAAACTCCCGCGCGTCTATACAGTTGATTGAAGTTAACGCGCGTCAAAAGGCGTCGGAAGCTCGGTCGTTAGAATGCATGGCGAATCGCCGGCAAGGAGCGGCTGAAAGACGAGCTTCCGTTGAGGCGAGAGAGGACAGTAACAAGAGCGTCGAATCGATTTTATGACACGCGAAAGGGAGCCAATGATACGGACGAAATGGACAGGTCCGTTCCGATGGAACTTGGCGTTATTTTTAAAGATGTGGGTCACTTAAAAGGGAGAGAGAGATCGGGGGTTGATCGATTTCGCGGCTGAGTCCTCTCCCCGCGGACATTTTCGGAATCTCTCCAGCGGCTCGAAATTAAGACGTAGGTGCGACACAATCGCGAGGTACAATCGCTTTGGTCAGATGACCTATTTTAAGATCGTTTCTTTCGCCTCATCGGCGGGGAGCAAGACCGAGCTATTTCCACAACGAGGATCGACCGTGCGAAAAATGTGCTGATTTAGAAGGGCTCACCTGCAGTCTGTTCCGGGCTCTCCTTTAGGTACGACAAAGAGTTGAGCAGAATGATATGGCAGTGCTTTCGCTGCTCCCACTGCCACGTTTCCTCCATTCCTCGGCTTAGCACCCCCACACTTTCGGAGCCGACTGCGTGAGAGAGAAAGAGCACAAATAAGAGGGATGAAATTTGACAAGTGATGGGATGTGTTTCGCGGAGCGATCATTTGCCCGACCGTGATGCATCGCGAAACAATACCGGACACAATTCGTTTCGTCGATATTATTTCGCGCTCAGGATATAATCTCTACGAAGACGCACGTTGTCGAGAAGCGAGATCCGCGTGATTCAGCAACGCTATTCACGGGAGCTGTCAAATCGATTTTGTATTTGCAGAGTAAAAAGAAGAAAATAGCGCGCTTCACGTTCTCAAGTCGCTATATTTAACGCGGAACGAAAAATCGCGCTGGAGAATCGTCGTTGCTGACCGAGATTTCATTGCCAAGTTGAACCCGGCACTGTCCGCAAGAGACACCGAGGAAAAGGAGGATTTTCGGAAACCGAGGGTCCTCGAAAAATGTCTTCGATCTGCGCATCACAGTGTAACGCGTCGGATAATCGCCGAATTAGAGCGCGCGTCATCATCAATTCGCTTCTCGATTTACGCGGCGGCCCTCTGTCGCATGAATAATGTATACGTTACATCCGCAATATTATATTATATTATTTACTCATCATCGCGCGTTCTCGCTACATATTAGATCCAAATTTACACAAACACCATAGACACATACACACACACATACACACGCGTACAGACACACCGCGTCGAATGCCATGTAATACTTGTCGGCTGTCGTGTGCAAATTATACCACGTATAGTTTCGCCTATCTCGGGTACAATTAATCGCGATCATTCGCGTAACCGCGACTCGGAAAGGAAAGAGAGGTATCAAGTAAAGTCGAATCGCTATAAAATTTACACCTGGGGCATAATCCACCGGTAGAATTTTTCAGTTCGCGAGTGAGTGGTCGATCCGAAATTTCCAGTATTTTTACACAAACTCGCGTTAAAAACTTATTTCCGAGTCGAAATTTCCGTTCTGTATTTATTCTAAAAATTCCGTCGAATTTGAAGAACCAATGGAATATTTCGAAATACAGCATCATATGTTATCTCTTGATGCTATAAATAGTTATTGTTGCTTCTTGAAAGCAACAAGGAAAGAATTTATTTCAGTATTACTTAACATTCAATCATCTTAATAATTTGTCTGCACTTAATCTCTTTTGCTTCTTAATTTAGCTAAGCAATGTATTAATGTATTACGTACTTATTCAATTTTACAGAAATATAATTTCATATATATATATAGGGTGTCCCGAACTTCCATGATGACCCTCGGTGAGAACGGATTGAGGTAAGCAAGAAAATCCTGTGTCGTTTTGCGATATTCGTAGATATTTTTAGATATTCGTAGATTCGATTTATAGATATTAATTCGTATTTTCGCGTATATTCACGCAAACTCTTAATTTCACGCAAATGAGTATGCGTGAATACACACGAAAATACGAATCGATCGGAGACGCGGCGTTAACTAATTTTAACATTATTTATGGATATATTATATTAAGGATAATTGTCGAATGCTACTACAAGCATTACACTTCCATCACATCGCACGTGTGATTACCTTGATAATGAGGTAATCTAAAAATGTGATAATCCTGACCATCTTGTGTGATCGTAATGTGAGAGGGATGATTGACGTGATTTCTTGGCCACCGAGTATACCCCTCACCGTGCGCGAAGTGATAACGACGCGCGCGATTCACTCGAGGTAACTTGTCCTTCGCGACGCTCAATTGTTTTTGCAGTCTCACGCGCCTCGCGTGCTCGCCCGCTGCCGAGTCATTACGTCGCAAGCCGGCTAGCGACGTGCATAACGCGACGCGACGCGCGAATGTATATCGGTGTGCGTTGTTTATAGTTTCCGCCGGATAATTAAAAAATATCTCGCCGGGTCTCTCTCGAGACATTTCATCGCTCGTTCTCTCTCTTTCTCATCGGCGTCGCGTTAATTAATACGTGTTCCTCCGATCGAATTGTATAACTGCGCGAGTGTCAGTGAGTATCTGGAGCCAGGAAGTCTAGAAGCAGGAACTGGAGGATGCTGGGCGCCGAGACGTGGGTAGCGACTATAGGTATAGTAAAAGTATTTATTCTAAAAATGATTTTGATTTCAATGGGCGATCGACAAACTCATTGAGAAAATGAGAAGATATTCGAATCGAAATTTAGTATCTACTTAAAGTTCGACATTCACAGTCACTGTTTGATAAATAATATTAACTCTAATTATCGGTTAACTTGTAATACGTATTTCGTATAACAAGAGATATCAATTCAAACAATCGAATACGATCTGTAATTAAGCGTATCTTCAATTAATGATTGTAGATAGTTCGCAATTAACAATATCGGACTAATTTTCATAAGTGTTGATATTTGTTTTACTAATAATGCTCTATGAGACGCGAGTTTTTATCTCGAATCTACCAACGTTCTTCTTTTGTTTCTTTCACTTCTGTTTGTTGTTGTTATACCGAGTCCAAACTGAAATTCTTGTTGATATTTATACAACTACCATCTTTGTTTTTGCAACGTTTTCCTCAAATACGTTTTTTCAAGTTTTACCGACAAATCTTCAACGCTAGTAACAAAATAATAAGAAAGATATTTTTTGAAGACCCAAAGTTTGTCCTATGATTTATCTGTATCAATTAAATTTAATATTTATTTATCATATATATTTTACCTGAAACTGAGTGAGAAATACATCACATATTGTTTGTTGAAATTAATAATAAGAATTAAATGCAGGTAGAGAAAATTGAGATGATCGAATATTAAATTTTTATTAGATGCTTCTTCAAGTCTCAATACGGGAAAAATGACATTCTTTTAATGTCAAGATAGGACAATAGTCTACGTAATGTTATGTTTTTGAATCCTTCATTGATTCGTCAAATATCGACGGTACTTGCAGAATTAATGTAGAAGCTGAATTTCGACTCGGGGGCGTTCAATTTTGCAGAGGAGCGTCTTGCGATCGCGCGTCTAATCCCGCTGCGATCTAATTCGTTTCCTTGACAGCACGTAGTTCGGCGAACTTTCGGTTAGCAGTGCTGCAGTCTCTTAGTCGTCTCATAAAATTTGAAGCACCGACATACGTGTTACGAGTATGTTTGCGCTGATTCCGAAGGACGAGCTTGGACGGGATGACGTGAATTTTTAGATTTATATATAGCTGCGTTAAAAATGAATTATGCACATATATATCATTGATCATTTGTATTTGACGAACCAATTGAAAGATCATTAAGTTTGACACACGTTTCGTGCATTAACTCAGCCTCGCGCGGATGCCGTACCATCGATAAATCGATAGTTATTACAAGTTGTCAACCATCCACATCTAGCTGTACGCATTCCTGATGATCGTTGATTAATCCAGAAAGCGGAAGCGTGCTTTATTTTCATATAAGCTTTCAATAATTTATCTATTTTATTATATCTGTGGTATATTTTAGTATATCTGTGGTCTTATTTATGCTACGCAACTTCCTTCTTGCAATTTACACAATTCTTTTTTTCTCTTTGGTGCGAGATTTCTCTACAAATAAAACAAATAGATAAATAGATAAGCTAAGGGATGAGAAGCGCGTAAAGGGAGAGAGCTAGAAAAGAATATAGTTAGTGTAAAATTTGTAGTAACTATCGGTCTTTATCGGATAGTAAGACGATATCGATCTATTGGATGGTAAGACGATATCGATCTATCGAACTCGCAAGAACGTCCGACAAAGTGCATTGTAGGGGCGCCACGAACTTTCGGTGCATTTACGGTGAACGCGCGCGTTTTTGACGGACATCTTGCTATTCGCGCGCCGAATAACCGCCGTTAACACATCGATCGACATCGCTCCTTGTTTTACGCGTCTTTGGTCTGTCGCAAGTGAGCCTCGCGCGGGAATAAGTATCGGGAGTGCCGAAAGGAACGAAGTGCGATTATCGGGACGTATCGTGTGAGTGTTATTAGTGAGTAATCTTCTCGTTATTCGGCAACCGGTGCTTGTCGCGACGTCTCGACTCGGCGTTTCTTGCACTTGTTATCACCGCCGAGAAAGAGACTGAAAAGGATAGAAGGAAAGCGGAGGAGGAAAAGAGATGACTCTGGAGAAGTGTATTCGGAGCAAGGCTCGAAGGTACGCACCATTCTATTTCAGGTAAGCTGTGGCAATTTCGAAAGTAGCAAGCTCCGTAACGCCGAGTCTAACCAAATCTTACTTCTCTCCTCTCTCTCTCTCTCTCTCTCTCTCTCTCTCTCTCTCTCTTGTGATTTAAATTAACACTTGCGCGATAGTCGGTTAGATTGGCGGGCGGTGTTTTATTGAATTTATGATAAATTGCTTCCGAAACCTGCCCCCGCGGTAAAGGTAATACGGACGCAAGGCAAGGAGAGGGGGAGCGAAGGAGAGGAGAAAGCCATCTCCTCACTTAACTCGTGAAAGAAGAGGCTGTGAAAATCCCTTCGTAAATCAAGACAACGAGCGCGATTACGATCGCGACGATTCCTTTCCTCGCATATGAGGGGGAGAATCTGTTGAATACATTTGAAACTAATACCCGCGATATGTGTATGCCGCGTTAGCTCCGGTAATGATCGATGAAGGTACAAATCTGACGATGGAAGGGAGGACGATCGGCATTTGCATGTATTGCGAACACCCTCGCATCTCATCTCGTCGTTCTTATCGCTATCGAACAGATAGTGTATTAAATCAATCGTAATAAGCAATGTAATCCTTACGTGAACCGTGAAAATATTAGATCTATTCTTCTTGCACGTAAACCTACCCAAAAGTTACATTTTTGTTGCACTTGTTGATGATAGAAATAAGAACATTAAAAAGCTATAAACTGCTCGTGAAACTCAAAGTGAGCCAAAATGAAAAAATATGACCTAAATATTTTTTGTACTTCTACATTTGTGCCAAATTAGAAAGAAATCGGAATGTAACTTTTGTATATGTTTACTTGTTAGCTGAACTACACGCTACAATAAGTTAGAACAAAATAAAT